CAACTTATCTTTTCAGATGTTTGGGGACCAGCCCCCACTTCAGTCGGGATATTTTCTTATTATGTAAGCTTTATTGATGACTATAGCAAGTTTACTTGGATTTATTTGCTAAAGAAGCGATCCGATGTTTTTCAAGTTTTTAGCAACTTTCAAAGTCTTGTTGAACGTCAACTAAACTCTAAAATTCTTGCCATGCAAACGGACTGGGGAGGTGAGTATGGGAAACTTAATTTTCAAAAGATTGGAATTTCTCACCATGTATCTTGTCCTCATGCTGACCAACAGAACGGTTCTGCTGAACGAAAGCATCGCCACATTGTTGAAGTAGGACTAGCATTGCTAGCTCATGCATCTATGCCTCTCAAATTCTGGGATGAGGCCTTTCTCGCCGCAACATATCTTATCAATATTCGCCCCAGTAAAGTCATCAAATTTGAAAATCCTATCACTCGTCTTTTTGGTATTACTCCTGATTATACATGCCTACGCATATTTGGTTGTGCATGTTGGTCGAATCTTCGACCATACAACACACGGAAACTTGCGTTTCGTTCCAAACAATGTGTTATCTTGGGTTATAGTCCTATACACAAAGGGGTCAAATGTCTTGATGTCTCTACTGGCAGAGTCTATATATCTAGGGATGTTGTCTTCGATGAATCTATTTTTCCTTTCAAGTCACTTCATCCAAATGCCGGTGCCCTTCTTCGAAAAGAAATTCTTCTACTTACGGAATTTGATCAAGGGGGTGATAAAAATTGTGCTAACCAATGTGCTAATATTTCTTCTAGTTCTACTCCTAGTACGCCTGTGCAGGTGCATGAAGAAAATGACGTTCAAAACGGTCAAGATGATCAAAATCCGGTACAAATTGATGCTATATTTGATGTGTATGAGGAAGAAGCAGCAGGCGCGGAGCACGAGGAGGATACGGCGGCGCCTGCCACGCCTGCGCGCCGATCCGCCTTGGATCACGGGTGGAGATCCGCACGGGATCACGCGCCTGTCAACCGACAGGGGGATCAGCCGTCCCCGGCCCGCTCCGCTTCTGCCACGTCAGTGCGCATGCAAGGGACAGGAGAGGGAGCGGGATCTCCCTCATCCGGCGCGCACATGCAGGGGACAGGAGCGCCAGGCTCGGGATTCTCTGCTCCGGGTTACTCTGTGAACTCGGCCATCGCTAGTTCGGGTCAAGCCACACCGGGGTCTACTGGATCCGGTACACCAGCCCAGTCTGCACACATGGATGGGTTGCCAGGATCTTCTGCCACCAGCCAGTCTATGCAATCTCCTGTGCAACAGCAAGAACAGCCTGCTACTACTTCAAGGGTCATGACCCGGCTACAAAAAGGTATTAGAAATCCCAAAATAAGAAGAGATGGTATGGTATGTTATGTGTTTCAGGTGAACCAGCAAGGTTGAGTGATGCACTTGGAGATCCTAAATGGAGAAAGGCTATGGATGAAGAGTATGATGCACTCATGAAGAATAAAACATGGCACTTGGTGCCAAGTTAGAGAGGTAAAAATATTATTGACTGCAAGTGGGTCTACAGAATTAAAAGAAAAGCAGATGGCTCCATTGATAGGTATAAAGCACGTCTAGTTGCAAAAGGATTTAAGCAACGGTATGGTATTGATTATGAGGATACCTTTAGTCCAGTTGTAAAAGCTGCTACTATAAGACTTGTGCTAGCCATTGCTGTTTCCAGGGGATGGAGTCTTCGACAGCTAGATGTTCAGAACGCGTTTCTGCATGGTGTTCTGGAAGAGGAGGTCTATATGAGGCAACCACCAGGATATGAAAACAAACAAACACCTCATTATGTTTGCAAGCTTGACAAAGCTCTTTATGGTCTGAAATAGTCACCTAGAGCTTGGTTCTCAAGGCTAAGTTCACAGTTGAAGCATCTTGGGTTTATTCCATCCAAGGCAGATACATCTCTCTTCATTTATAATAAGGCAAACACAATGATTTTTGTGCTCATATATGTGGGTGATATTATAGTTGCAAGCTCTTCACAAGATGTCACTAATGCTCTTTTGCGTGATTTGAGTTCAGAATTTGCTTTGAAAGATCTTGGTGATTTACATTTCTTCTTAGGCATTGAAGTTAAGAAGACTCAAGATGGCATAGTATTGAATCAAGAAAAATATGCCACTGAACTTCTAACTCGTATGGGAATGAAGGATTGCAAACCCTCACCTACACCATTGTCTTCTTCAGAACAACTTTCAGCATATCAAGGAGAACCTCTTAATGAAGAGGAGAGCACAAAATATAGAAGTGTTGTTGGAGCCTTACAATACTTAACTTTGACACGGCCAGACATATCATTTGATGTAAACAAGGTTTGTCAATATTTACATGCTCCTACCTCCACTCATTGGACGTCTGTCAAAAGGATTGTATGATACATTAAACAAACTGTGAGTTTGGGACTTCAGTTCAGACGTTCTAGTTCCACACTTGCCAGTGCTTTTTCTGATGCTGATTGGGCAGGATGTGTTGATGACAGAAAGTCAACTGGAGGATTTGCGGTATTTTTTGGTTCAAACCTTATTTCTTGGAGTGCCAGTAAACAAGCCACTGTGTCAAGGTCAAGTACAGAGGCTGAATACAAATCACTAGCAAATGCCACTGCTGAAATAATTTGGGTGGAATCTTTGCTTCATGAGCTAGGAATCAAGCAACTTCATATATCTTGCCTATGGTGTGATAACTTGGGAGCAACCTACCTTTCTGCTAATCCAGTGTTTCATGGTAGAACCAAACACATTGAGATTGATTTTCATTTCGTGCGTGGAAGGGTTGCAGAGAAGAAGTTGGATATACGCTTCATTCCATCTAAGGATCAAGTAGCTGATGGATTCACCAAAGCTTTGCCGGCCAAGTCTTTTGAAGAGTTCAAGAGAAATCTCAATATAGGATAGTTTAGATTAAGGGAGGGTGTTAGAGTTTGAGTAGTTTACTTCATGTAATCTCAACCTATCTCTATCTCTCTCTCCCGTATCCTTCTCTATCTCTTATACCGAACCATATTGGAGTTCTCTCTGGTCTCTCTTGTACGCCACGACAAGGCATTGTTTGCCCCATATAAATATACACGACGCGGCTCCCTCGAGGAGTAGGAACGCTTATACCAAATCTTACAAGCAGAACACAACAACAGTTGAGGGCTCGACAAAAGCCTCAGAGAAGAGAAGTTAAAGGATAAGTTTCATTACTTTTATCTGAAAGGAGTACTTAGAGAAGAGAAGAGAGAAGAAGACAGAAAGAAGAGAAAAGAGCATGAGGAGTACTTTCATTTACTGAATTTTTACTTAAATTCAGTTAAAGTTTCAGTTAAGAAAAGGAAAAGGAAAAGGAAAAGAAGAGAGAGAAAAGAGAGCATGAGGAGTATCTAAAAGGAGTGATCAGAGAAGAGAAGAGAGATTAAGAGAGGAAGAAGAGAGAAAGAAGAAAGAAGAAGAGAGCAAGAAGAGAGAAGAGAGAAACAAGAAAGAAATGGAAAAGTATCAGTTAAAGGAAAGGTTTCAGTTAAATAAAATTAAAGAAAAAGTTCCAATTAATTAAAATTATGCTACAACAGCAGCAAGCTACTCCTTTAAGCACAGAAGCAAGCAGCAGCAGGAGTAGTTTCATTAAGAGAAGAGAAAGAGAAGAGAAGAGAAAGAGAAGAGACAGAGAAGAGAAGCTGCACTGTACTCCTTCAAGCTACTCCTACTACTGGAGGAGTACTCCTGAATGAACAATACTACTGGAGTACTCCTGAATGACTAAATGATAGGCCTATTCATTTGTTAACTGAAAAGGTTTACGTTAATTAAAGGAAAATATTTCAGTTTATTTTAATTAATAAAAGTGTTTCAGTTAATTTTAATTAACACAAAAGGTTTCGGTTAGTTTTAATTAACTGAAAAGGTTTAAGTTAATTAAAGGAAAATGTTTCAATTTATATTAATTAACAGAAGAATGTTTCAGTTAAAGTAGAGAAGAAAATACTCCTACACTTTACTGAAAAAGAAGAGAGGAAGAGAGGACACTACTGCACTTGCTACAGAGAAGAGAAAGCAAATCAGCTACTGATCTTGTAGGGGACTGGAGTATTTATAATGTCTGCATTTGTGTCTTGGAAGGAGTATTTTCTGCATTTGTGTCTTGGAAGGAGTATTTATAATGTCTGCAAGGAAACTGGAGTATTTATAATGTCTGCATTTGTGTCTTGGAAGGAGTATTTTCTGTACTTACTGCTACTGATCTTGTAGGGGACAACTACTCAAGCAGTGCACTGCAAGCAAGCACACAAGAAGCAAGCAAAATTGCCAAGTTAGTGCACCAAGTCCAAATTCAGTTAAAACAGTTCTTCCTACTATTGAACTCTTCCTACAAGAAATTTTGTTGCTTTCACTTGCCATAATCTACTCCAGCTAGTTGCTGCAAGTGGGTGCAATTATAAACTGCATGGCTACAGAAAACATGAGGACCAGCAAGCTAGTACTCCAAACTGTATGTAAAATGTGTTCCAACTAAAAAAACACAGGACATTATGCCTGACAAATCTTTCAGTTCTCTTTATCAACCTACCAGTACAAAGAAAACTCATGCAGCGCCTACATGAATTAAGAAGGAAATCCCTTCCCTCTTGCCCGGCCGTGGGCAGAAAGGCCCCTGGCCGGCCCTCTTGCGCCCTCCTTCTAGCAGCGCCATAACAGAGAGAGACTTCACTCTTGGAAGCTAATGTGAAAGTGATGAAAAGAAAGGAAGAACAGATAGAATAACATCGGAGTCGAGCCATGAAATGCGAACAGATCGATATACAAAGACTTCAACATTCTAACAAACCACTAAGAGTTAAATAGTCGGGTACACAGATAATTCAACAAACCACTAAGAGTTAAATAGTTGGTACACAAATATGTTAACAAACAACCCAGAGTTAAATAGTTGGATGGCATAAGCTAGAGTCGAACACCTTACATGCATGATACACAAATTCTTCAAGGCTCTACCGCTGGGCAATCCAGCAGGAGGTCCTGCTTCTCCTTGACAAGGAGGGACCAAGCAACAACGATCTTCACCTTACTGTTGCCAACTGAACATTCACTCTCACTAGTTTGGCAAAGCTTGGCAGGGAATTCGACCTTCGAATCTTGAGCAGCCTGACCGGACTCCAAGTAGGTTCGTATGACAACTACCAATGTTCCTTGTGATTGCACCGACACAACATTCCTCGACAGATGAAGGTAACCGTCTGACCCTACACGCACTTCTTCATCATCACCGCGACAATCAAGCAACACAAATTCATCTGCATCAGCCACAACTTCATCTGCAGCAGCAGATAAGAAGCAAGCAACTCGGCATCCATGTTCAAAAGGCCAGTCCCCTTCAACAAGGCATACACCCATGACGGTGGCCTGGACCGCTTCAGTAATCTGCTTAAATTTTAACTCCGCTACACACAAACTGTTCTCGAACATGAGGGAGGTACTTGTACCGTCATACCGCTTGCTCAGAGTGATCAATTCTTTCTCTTGGGACTCCTCTCCCTCTTCTATTTTCAGTTCAATTTCAAAGTCAACAGGGCCCAGAGCTACAATTGCACGAGACGGGCCAGTCAGACATAAAGAAGAGCCCTACAAGCATCGTATCATTAACAGTTAATTGCGACGGTTGGGCAAGAAAAAAGCTTACTTAATTGCAATAGACTACGAAAGCACGAAGAAGAAACTATGGAAAACGATGAGAAAACTGAATACAATGCATACATCTTCATTGAGTTCTTGAGAGTAATGACTTGACCGAGAGAAGACAATGTTGCGGTTGCGATCCACCGTGTCTCGAGCAGCTACCACTCCGTACAGTTTGAGTGGCCAGTTCAATCCTCTTTTTAGTTCAAGAATTCTGATGGAGTAGATCTGCAAGGTGCTCCCAGTGACACCACATGAGGATCGGATGGTATTGGGTGTGTAATGCGTAAAATGCATAGGGCTCAATGTCGCTGCAGCAAAAAGCAAAGTGCATACTGTCAGAAATCTAATGTGAGCAACCAAATTAAGCAAAATATATTCCCTTTACTTATACAAGGAGAAAGGAAGCTAGTGATCAGTTACAATTTGATTCGAATTTTACAAGCAATAACATGTATATATGAGCCCTGCAAATAATTCTAGTGGATTTGCTTTTGACACATTTTGTACCAGTTTTCCACAAGCTTAATGGAGTCCCACAAGTACATTCCGTATGAATACTCTAAGTTCAGCTAGCAACGAGAAGTATTGCGCTAATAATTCAAGCAAATATATGAATAGTCCACACTATAAATCATGAACATCGTAACTGTAAGAAGTGTTTAAATATAACAGTGAATGATAGAAGTGCTTACAAGTAGAAGCAAAGAAATTTTTAACTTCACAAATGATCATGAAACAAATACAAGAAGAAAAAAGCAGCAGAAACTACACTACCCTATAAAGCAGAAGTACAAGTAGAAAAAACAGTAATAAATTATAGAAATGATGATTGTAAAAAAAGCTAAAAGGCAAGTCATGCTTGTAAACATATACACTGAAAATAAACTCTACCCTGAACTATGAAGCAAAAAGATACAATCCCTGACAACATGTTACTTGTGATGTGTTGAGAATAATACCACGGAACATACATTTACTCAACACTAGACAGTAAAAACTGAAACTCATATGCACTTGACTCTCAAGACAGAAAAGCAAGTTCTAGAAAATACAAATTTAAGTGATATGCTAGAATTTCTAGACAAGCAGAGAGTCAAGATGCACGTTTTGCTTACTTGTGTCTCGGAAGCCGCCGCACCTTACACCCTTGCTGCCGCATCGGGTTTCCCAACCGAACCGATAATCTGCGAATAATTCCCCGGTCGCCTCCATCCCCGTCTTGAGATACTCCATTGTGGCCTCCTCCTTGTTCTGCTCCTCCTGGTCCTTCTCCCTCCTCTTCTTCTCCTCCTTCTCCTTCGCCTTTGCCTTCGCCCACCTCAACTCATACTCCTCCACGTTTCCCATCTCCTTCTCCCTCTCGTACCTATCCCTCTGCTTCTGTCTCTCCTCCCATTGCTTCCAATATGCCATGCTCTGCTGACGCAGCTCCTCCTTCATTTTCTTCTTTTTCTCCACCTCCTGCTCGTACTCCTCCACCTCCTCCCTGGTAACCACTAACGCCAACTCGTTCTCGTAGCTCAAGGGTTCTCTCAGGAACTTGTCGCAGAGATCCAAGAATAATGTGTTCTTCTGCTCCTCCTCTGCTGCCGCCTGCTCATTATCGTCGGTGGTGTCTTGGTACAGCTCCTTGCAGGCGTGCATTAATGCGGACGTCGAGTTAACCAGCTCGTCGGCCATGTACGAGGAGAGGGCGGCACCATTATCGGGTTTGACCACAGCGTACGCCATGGACAGCATCCGGTGACCCAGGTCCCCCGTGTCCTGGACGATAGAATCAAAGCACCTCCCTAGCTCTAGTTGTTCCGCCGTCGAGGCCGATTCCGTCTCCATCTCCTTGACCTGGCCCTGGACGGGGGCCGTGTAGTCCCTTCCGGCGAGCCTCCGGACTAGGGCCTCTTCTCCTGGCCCTCGCCGCTTCCAGACGGAGACCCCGGGGGTGAGGGCGGCGAGCAGGTCCGTGCGCTCCCTGTGCAGGGACATGATCTCCTTAACCATGTTGAAGAGCTCGGACTTCTGCTCCTCGGAGTCACCCGCCATCTCCTTCAAAGATGAGGGATTTCTTCCAAATCCTCTCGCTCTCTGGTTTGTTTTGGGGATTCAGGCTTGCCGTCTGCCAGGACACTCGCCGCCGCCTACGGGGGATAGAGTTCCAAGAACGTGTTCTTCTGCTCCTCCTCACGCTCAGCACGCCACGAGCCCAGTAGGCTGGTCCAAGAAACGCCGGGCCGAAGGGAGGAGACCCAACTAATTTGTCTAAAAAAAAAAACTAATTTTCTCTCAGACTCCTTCACGCTCAGCACGCCACGAGCCCAGTAGGGCTGGCCCAAGAAACGCCGGGCCTAAAGGACGAGACCCCAACTTATTTTTTCTCACCCTATTCGAATTCTACTTTGCTAAAAAATAAACCGAATTCTACTCCCTTTTGCGGTTTTGCCTTAAAAAACAAATTCTACTCTGTGATCTAAAAAAATCCCCCTTCTACTTCTTTCTAGCAACATTGGTAAGTGTGCTACTCCCCTTCCCCACACCCCTCCGAGTACCGGCGGAAACCCTAGGACCAGTCCGGGCAGCAGCGTCGTCATCGGCGTGTTCCTTCCTGAAGTTGTTGCTTGGTATGCGGCGGTCTCAAGTGCTAGGACCGTGGTGAAAATTCTCTAGAGGGTGTAGCGGTTGCGGGTCATCAAAGTTTTAGTCGACCCGACTCCGTTGACATTAGTTTCTTTTTTTCTTTCTCTTTTATTTTTTTGGGTGAGCTTGTGTTGTTTGCCCATTGGACTCATAGATGTATCAGGTGGTTGCTATATCTATACAGCGGTGCGAAAGCCTATTTCGAGGATTGATCAGTAACAAATCGATCTCCTCCGAAACCAACGCCTTCCGCCGCCACAAAATAGTGTCTTCGTGCCTGGTCGACGATCGAGATTAACTGATGGCGTCACAATCCACTTTTGGCGGCTCTCGGAGGGGCCTGATCTCGTGCCTAAACAATAGCTGCAACAACGTCGGCATTGCGCCCCAAGAAGACTCGCAACAGGCCGTCCACAACCTCATAGGCCGCTTCTACGAGGAGGCGTTCGACCGACTACCCTGCGCGACTATCCCGGGCCTCGCCTGCTCCCTCGCCACTGGCGGCTTCTGCTTCGGCCTCCTCGACCCCATCTCCAACATCATCCTCAATGTACGAGAGATGCGACACGTAGATCGGGAGGAAGAGCCTCCCCACCAAGAAGACCTCGCGGGCACGCGAGGGATCTCTTCGTCACCGCCGTCTGCCAGGAGGGCTTAGCCCGCCGGCATCATCTGGTGGTGGGGAGGGGGAAGGAGGCACGGGAAAGGGGCGACGACATCAGCGGGATGACAGCAGACTGAAATTACTTATCATTTCAACTGTAAGGAAGTTCTAGAAACTGAAACTCATATCCACTTGACTCAATACAGAAAAGCAAGTTCTAGAAAGTACAAATTTAAGTGGTATGTGACGGTGTCCTGGACTAGGGGGTACTCGACACGTCGTCTCCCGAACAGCTATATCGGGCCGAGGACCCCCATGGCTGTTCACTCATGGGCCACTTCGGGCAGCCCATGCCGCATACAAGGAGGATTCCACAAGACTTGGCGCCCAAGACAAGGACTCTCCTAAACCCTAGGCCTCTGGTGTGTTATATAAACCGAGGCCAGGCTAGTCAATAGACAATCTGAAAGCACAAGTGCTCCCTAGGTGGTTTTGGTAATTAATGTCAACATATCTCTTGTTGGACTAACACTTTTATCTAGTATGTTTCAGATAAGTTCAACAATGGAGTGGCATGGACTAAAGGATGTGGGAACTCCTTCTGGATGCTAAGGACAAAGGATTGGCTCAAGCTTCAAGCTCAAGACTCTTCACTTTTACATTTTAGTGATCCAAGATCACATTGAGTCTATAGGAAAAGCCAATACTATCAAGGAGGGATGAGGTGTTGCTTAATGAGTTTCTTGCTCCACAGTGCTTAGTGATATGCTCCAAAAACCCTCAACTGCTTTCCCACTTCCACATATGTGACCTAAACCTAAAGTCAAACTCGGCCCCACCGATTCTTTCTATCCGGCGCCACCGAGTTCAGATGTCATAGCCGCTGCCATAATCCCTAGGCAAATCGGTCTCACCGATAGGGATCTCGGTCTCACCGAGATGGGATTGTAATATCTCTGTGTATGTCCATTACCAAAATCGGTCTCACCGAGTTTGAGCAATCGGTACTACCGAGATTACAATGCAAACTTTCTGGCCAACTTATTACCAAAATCGGTCCCATCGAGTTTGAGTAATCGGTCCCACCGAGTTTGCCTGACCAACTCTCTGGTTAGCTAATTACCAAAATCGGTCCCACCGAGTTTGTGTAATTGGTCTCACCGAGATTACGTTATGCCCTAACCCTAACCATATCATTCCTACCGAGTTGCATATCGGTCCCACCGAAAATCCTAACGGTCACTAGATTTGCTAAATCGGTCCGACCGAGTTTGTTGATTCGGTCCCACCGAGTTTGGTAAATTGTGTGTAATGGTTAGATTTTGTGTGGAGGCTATATATACCCCTCCACCTCCTCTTCATTCGTGGAGAGAGCCATCAGAACAAACCTACACTTCCAGCATCCTAATTCTGAGAGAGAACTACCTACTCATGTGTTGAGGCCAAGATATTCCATTCCTACCATATGAATCTTGATCTCTAGCCTTCCCCAAGTTGCTTTCCACTCAAATCTTCTTTCCACTAGATCCAAATCCTGTGAGAGAGAGTTGAGTGTTGGGGAGATATCATTTGAAGCACAAGAGCAAGGAGTTCATCATCAACGCACCATTTGTTACTTCTTGGAGAGTGGTCTCTCCTAGATTGGCTAGGTGTCATTCGGGAGCCTCTGACAAGATTGTGGAGTTGAACCAAGGAGTTTGTAAGGGCAAGGAGATCTCCTACTTCGTGAAGATCTACCGCTAGTGAGGCAAGTCCTTCGTGGGCGACGGCCATGGTTGGATAGACAAGGTTGATTCTTCGTGGACCCTTCGTGGGTGGAGCCCTCCGTGGACTCGCGCAACCGTTACCCTTCGTGGGTTGAAGTCTCCATCAACGTGGATGTACGATTGCACCACCAATCGGAACCACGACAAAAACATCCGTGTCTCCAATTGCGTTTGAATCCTCCAAAACCCTTCCCTTTACATTCTTGCAAGTTGCATGCTTTAGTTTCCGCTGCTCATATACTCTTTGCATGCTTGCTTGTTATGTATTGTGAATGTTAAACTTGTGCCTAAACTCCACTTAAACTTAAAAAGATTAAAAACTGCTACTTTGGTACTTAGTGTCTAATCACCCCCCTCTAGACACGTCTTCTCAAGGTCCTACAAGTGGTATTAGAGCATTGGTCTCCATTGCCTTGGTTTAATCACCATTGGAGGAAGATGGATGAGTCTACTTTGGGGAGTCTTAGACATAGAGTGCCTATTCTTGATGGAGAGTATTTTCGTGAGTGGAAAAATGAGATGCTTGTAATTTTCAATCAATATCATTTGAACAAGTATATTGTTAGCCCTTGTGCACCTCATGTTGATCCTATGCATCCTACTCTTTATGAGTCAATTGACATGGTTAGGAATCTTAGAACTGCCAAACTTATTATTAGAGGATTGCCTAGAAACTTGATTGGATGTGCCTGCACTATATGGAAATTTCTTGAGGAGCACTTTCCAAATTATTCCTTGAAAAATCTTGATGAAATTCTTCATAAGTCTATTGCCTTGAGTAAGATGAATACTAGTGATCCTATGTTTGGTGATCGTCTATTTGAACTTACAAATCTTATGCGTGCCAAAGGAGATGTTGGAATTATTGGTGATATTATTTCCGAAGCTATAAGAATTCATAAGCAAGATCATTGTCAAGCTCACTCTAACGAATCACCCTCTCTAGGATTTGATCCACCACATGACGATGTTGAACATGGATACTATGATGAGGATGATGATAGTGACTTCGATCTTGATGATGCAATGAGACACTTTGGTCTTATGGCAAATCTTCGGGGATATATGTCAGGAGGAAAGGAATGGGTTCTTGATAGTGGATGTACCGATCACATGACCGGAGATAAAGACATGTTTCGTGAGCTTGCTGAAAACGATGGTCCTCGAAAGTATGTCACTTTCGGTGATAACTCAAAGGGTAAGGTGGTTGGCCTCGGTAAGGTGGCCATATCACATGATAGCTCCATACAAAATGTCATGCTCGTTGAATCTCTTGGTTACGACCTACTTTCAGTATCTAGACTTGCTCATTTCGGTTTCAATGTCCTATTTATTGAAGTAGATTGCCAAGTGTTTCGTTGAGACAATCATAAAATGGTCTTTACCAGCATACGTAGAGGTGATCTATACATTGTTGATTTCACTAAAAAGGCTCAACCAAAACTTGCTTCATTGCTAAATCCTCAAAAGGTTGGTTATGGCATAGACGACTAGGTCATGTTGGTATGCGAAACCTTGACAAGCTTATTAAAGGAAATCATATCCTTGGTGTTAGCGATGTCATATTTGATAAGCATAGACTTTGCAGTGCTTGTCAAGCAGGTAAACAGGTTGGAGGAAGGCATCTCGTGAAGAACATCATGACCACAAGGAGGCCAGTTGAGCTACTTCACATGGATCTCTTTGGTCCCAACTCTTACAAGAGTCTCGGTGGAAATTCTTTTGGTCTAGTTATAGTTGATGATTTTTCAAGATTTACATGGGTGTTCTTTCTCGATGATAAATCGCAGGTCCAAAAGATCTTCAAAAATTTGCTAGGAAGGCCCAAAACCAATTTGAAGTGAAGATGAAGAAGGTTCGCAGCGACAACGGAACGGAGTTCAAGAACACAAATGTGGACACCTTTCTTGATGAAGAAGGAATTTCACACGAGTTCTCCGCTACGTACACACCTCAACAAAATGGAGTTGTTGAGAGGAAGAACCGGACGCTCATCG